GAGCAGAGTTAAAATTACACAGCAGAAGAGACACGCTGGACTGGGACTTGAGTGTAAACCAAAGCGTATTTGACATGTTACTGCATGTACAAAACACCAGGTCGATGTCCTTTGTACCGTGACCTTCTTTTCACCTTATTTTGACGGAGCCGTGGGGAACTTTTGTAACGTCAGCAACAAATTAAACTTCAGAAATTCCAATGGGTGGTAGTTACCCTTGCAATATACTCATTTAATATGAAGTTCATGTGTAATCAAAATGCTTGTGTTAGTATAATTACCAAGTTGTCGAACGCCAATACAAAATACACCACACTCAATATGCCTACCTCCCCCAGATAATAAATGGCCTGTGCTATGTACGCTGGGTCCTCGGTTTATAAACACGTGGGTGTCAGGTCAACGTGCATTACTCGTAGACACTGTTGTTTTGTGAACCTGTACTCTAATCATGGAGGTAAATCCTGATTTACAGATGGAGAGAGATGGCGCTACTTTTGACCCAATAGAACTGACTTACATTAAAGATGGCGGTGCCAAGGTTACACAACGAAGACGTTATATAGGTAATCAAAATGCATTTACAATATTCAATCTCGTTCGCATGCGCAGTTCAAGTCAGTATAGATATATACACGAGCAAAATCATTCCAGAATTAAGGTTTGGCAAGAACATTGTAGGCATTTGAGTAAGTTGGGAATTCGGTGAATCGAAAAAAACATGCAAGTGCGCATGCTCTAAAGCAAATAAATGGGTCAACGCACTTAGTGGGAGCAATCATTGAACTTTGTGCGGCATACGATCGAAATAATGCTATCCAATCATTTACTTTCTAATTGATAGAATTTACGTCGCATACCTGTTCAAGCCATTAGTGATAGATATATAGATCTGACAAGCTCAAAAATACAACGGTCAGAACACCGCCATGTTTTTAAATATTAACCAATTTTTGCCCATCTGATTTGAAACTGTCACAATACGACCTCAAATGTAGACGAACAAATCTACCATAATCTCTGCGCATGCGTTAATCTGTATATCTAATGCTTCTTACCATTAGACAAATCTGATGGAGGTTAGCGTTAACGTTTGAATGCTTTTGTTTCAAAGATAAAACAAACAGTCAGAAAGCATAGACTATTTTTGACGTGAAAAGAATAGCCTGACAACATCAACAGTTCAATGTAGAATAAAAAACGTTATTCCCTTTAGTTTTTTCCAACTCCCCCCTCCCCCACTGAAACGGAATTGATAAATATTGATCATGGCGTCAGACTACATTCACCATTAAATACAAATTGATAATCGGACAGTAGTATGGCATAGCAGTTTGGTTGTCGGGTGGGTGTAAAAAGACTTTACAAATACCCTGAAATTGATCTCATTTGACGCATATATTTAGATTCGGACCAAACCTTTTTCTCGACTTGGATA